TTAGAGTTAATCTGAAAACAAAACAGGCAGATGTCACTAGAGGAAGCATTCAAATTCTAAATAGACTTATAAGCATTGAAAAGATAGAATTAAATGTCAGATATCTCCACACCCACCTTCCTTTACGTCTGTCAGGTCCAGCCCTATAGTAAAGGAGTCATTTCATAATTACCTGAAACAGATAAACTCTATCTGATATAGATAGAGATTGTTTGGAAGATCAAGCAGATTTGATTTTTTTTCTAAATTAGTTTTATGAAAATCATATAAATTTGAAAAAATAGTAACATAATTTCACCTATGAGAATCATCTGTATGGAATGCTCAGGGAATAGGAGCAAACCAAATCAGTAGTGTATTTTTTTTTTTTTTTTTTTTTTTTTGTGGTACCAGGGATCGAACTCAGGACCTTGCGCTTGCCAGGCAAACACTTATTCCACTGAGCTATCTCCCTGGCCCTCAGTAGTGTATTTTTAAAAATCATCATATTGACTGGATGTGGTGATACATGACGGTAATGCCCGCACTCTGGGAGGCTGAGGCAGGAAGATCCCAGTTCACAGCCAATCTGGACAATCTAGTGGCTTCCAAGCACTGTCTCAAAGTAAAAAAATAGAAAAGTGCTGGGACTCAGCTCAGAGCCACGGCCCTGCTATTACAAAGCAGGCATATCCACATAGAAGTTAGCCCAGGATAATGAAGATGATTGCATGTTAGAGAATCTGTTACTGCATTCTAATATAGTAGCATATTAAGAGAGAAAAACTGGTCATTTCAAAATAAGTGTAAACATGGTATTTGATGTTTGAAGAATTCTTGGCAAGCTAGGAATATAAGAAATGAGTGTTCTTTAACCTCATAAGCACCCGTGACAGAACGAGTGAATGTAACGAAGAGAAAAGAGAAGAAAAACACATAAAGGTGAAATCTGAAGGTGAAGTGGCCGGTATGGCCACCAGGTGTGTTTCCACTCAGTATTCTCCTGGAGAGTCAAACAAGCACAGAAGATAAACATACAATAGCAGCAATGAGGGAAGTAAAGACGTAAAGGAATTAAGTGCCATCTCATTGTCTGGCTGAAGTCTTAGCTCCATGAAAGATTCAGTACTCTAGACATAGACATTGGAGCCAATAACATTTCTCAAATTTCCTGAAGACCCGTCCTTGGAAATTATTTCTCTAGCTATCAGCAATTAGAAAAATATAGCCTAAGCCTCTCTTTCAGTGAAGCTATAAGTGATTAATATAGCTAAAGTAAAAATAAATTTCAAAAGGACAAAATTAGTGGAGAGATGATTAAAAGATATGAATAGCAAAGTTAGACATGAGTGGTGAGGAGCAAAAAATCCTTCATATCACCAGAAATTAAGAAAATGAAAACAGTTGTTAGATTGAGAAAATATTTATTTATTTATTTAATTTGTTGGATTTTTGAGACTGAGTCTCACTCTGTAGCTCAGGATGGCCTTGAGCTTAACAGGTAGCCCAGGCTGGTCTTGAACTCATGGAATCCTCCTGCCTCAGCCTCCCAAGTGCTGGGATTATAAGCATACGCCACCATGCCCAGATAGATTGACAAATTTTTTAAAAATTGTGAAATTAATTGTAGGCAAAGATATGAGAAATAGAGGGATTTAGTACTCCAAAGACATTAGGCTAAATTAATATTAGTATTCTGGAGAGCCAGTTAGCAACAGGTAATGAACCTGAAAATGTTCGTAGTACATTGATTTCTGTTGCAATATATACCCTAATATCTTGCACATGCACGCCTTCTCGGTGCAGTATTAGCTGTAATAAACAGGAAAGCAATATAAGTGTAAATATCACCAATGATGAGTTATAGGGGAATGACCAAAATAAACATATTACTGTAAGAATTTTTATTATATATGTGTATATGTGGTAAGTGTTTAAATTTTAAAGTATGTATTCAGTGGAAGACACACTGCCATTAATCTCCTTCAAAATACTCTTTCTCACTCTGAGCACTCCCATCCTTCCGGCCACTTTATGACACAGTTCTGGAAGTCCTCTTTTGTATCTTTCCAAGCTGTCACCAGAAATATGGTGGCTGCTCCTTGCAGTGAGTACCATGCAGCGGGAGGCGGGCTCGTGAGACACCGCCCTGTGTCCGCATCCATCTCAGACAGCAGCTCTGGCCCTTTTCCGAAGTCGAAATAACCCTTAGGGGTAAGTGTTCTCGGTGGATTCGGGACACTGAGGCAGCCACGACGGTGCAGCTAGTGACACTCACGAGAGAGGACTGCCAGAGCTGCTCAGGAGTTGGCAAAGTGATGGGATCAATGTACTCGACCTGAAGGAAGATTTGAGGGGGATTAATGCTAATGTAATATATATATATATATATATATATA